ACAAATGCTTCTGAAAAATTAGATTTCAGTCATTATTGTTTTATCTGATTTTGAACATTAAACATATATTGGTTAATAGTGGAAAAATATTATATATGTATATGTATAAGGAGTGGAGCTGAATGATAAGACCTTTTATGAGCATATATATTGAATAGTCAAATGAAACCTTGATGATTTCATAAAAGCAATATATACAGGGTGGGACAAAAGTTACTAGACAGTTGCTACTGAAAATAAAATTACTGTGAAGACAGTTGAAACCAATTGTTTGTTTCAGAGTAATAATTAGAAATTAAACTATGTTCTAAGTGAAACAACTGCACTTTTTCCCACCCTGTATATGTATATATATATTATGGTGTTCATCCACAACCCATGAATGGCTAATAAGCCCAATTCTTTCATGAAACCTTCTTCCACATTGTACACAGAAAAATTCTGTGTTATGAGCAACTTACTGTAGATCTTATTGATGAGACTTACTTAAAGATAACAAGTTTAGAAAAGTTTATTAAATTAGATTCTGATGCTAATATAAAAAGGTAGAGATATGTGTGGCTCATTTTTGAGTTCAGTTTATTTCATTCATAATTTATTTAAATGTAATATGAAAATGTTTTCATAAAATTAACTTATTTATGCATATACTGCAGTAAAGTTTCTCTGTTTAGTTTTGGAAAACTAAGAAAAATGTAAGACATTTGCAAAATGTTTTTATCTTTGATCAGTACTGTTGAGGCACCATATTTTTTGTTTTTGTCTCCCAGTCATACCTGTAGTCTTCTAAGAGCAGAACTTATCAAACTTATCTTGTTTTTTTTTTGTTTTTTTTCAAAACCCTGTATGTACATTATGTCTCTTCAGTTGGACTCTCACCCCAAAAATATTTCAAGTTTTTCTTAACTGTATACATAATATATATATATGTATGTATAACAGATTCATTTTATTGGGATAAAAAAGTATTTTTTGTTTTACTGATTTTTAATTGTTTTACTAAGTTCTACACTAAAATAAAAACTATAGTATAAACTTTATATTGATTTTATGAGAATTGTTTATTCTATTTTGAGTAATTTAGTTTTTTAGATTACTTCAGCAATTCAGATTATGTAATTCAGTGAAGTTGTATATAACATTTCAGTTATTGATTTTATTAACCTAACTTTGTGATAAAACAATCTTCCATTTCAAACAATAGAATAAAAATCTTTTTTTTTTTGGACAGCTCTTACAAGTCTGTTCTAAGATTTAATAGAATTAAAAACTTTTTGCAAAAAAAAAAAATGTCTTTCAAGTTTTGGAATTCTGAATAATGTACTACAGTATTATGGCATGAATACCTTTTCTAAGCTGGGTAAGCATGATTGTAATTAATTACACTTGTGATAAAATATTAGTTTATGCCTGTTTTATTTTTTACATTCTTTATTCAGTCCCATAGGGTATTTTCTAGAAGAAAAATGGTGAATGATAGTACATTTCAATTGCACTATGCCTGCCATATCCAGGCCTGGCATGGCTCGGTGGTTAAGGTACTCGACTTGCAATCTGAAGAGCTCTGTGTTGAATGAAATGTGCCATAAGCAATGGATATGGCAGACATAGTGTGTTTGAAATACTATTATTCACTGTTTTTCTTAACAAAAACCCTAAGAGACTGAATAAAGAATGTGGTGTAAAAAAATATAATAGGCACAATACTAATGTACAACTATGTTTAATTGTACTTCATTATTGTGTTTAACTGTACTTTGTACATCTACCAGTCCAACTATGTTTAATTGTACTTCATTATTGTGTTTAACTGTACTTTGTACATCTACCAGTCCAACTATGTTTAATTGTACTTCATTATTGTGTTTAACTGTACTTTGTACATCTACCATAATGTACAACTATGTTTAATTGTACTTCATTATTGTGTTTAACTGTACTTTGTACATCTACCATAATGTACAACTATGTTTAATTGTACTTCAATATTGTGTTGAACTGTACTCTGTACATCTACCAGTCACAAACTAGCAGACATACATTATCTTAAAATTAATCAATTATTTTATATTGAAATTTACACTTCTCGCTTGATGCATAAACTTTACATCTTTTTCATAATTTGCCAGATGAGTATTTGACACAAAGTCCACACACATGTAAATACTTGTTTCTGTTTAAAGGCTTAGCTTGAAAAGTTGTAATGTCACCCTCTTTTTGCTAAATAACTCTGTAAATTATGTTTGACTTGTATGTTCATTGTAACATTTTTTAACTATGTGAGTTGTGAGTTACTATGGAGGTAAGTTTTGTTTGTTAATAAAAGTCATACTATTCTCTTATTAGATAAATTGATCATACCTGCTGACTACTTTAATGTAATTGTATTTTATTCTATATGCTTTGGCTCTATTTCTGATACTATTATTATTGCATGTTTTAACCAATCATATATTATGTTTTCAACTAGTTTCCACTGACTGAAAGATTAATGAATGTAGAGCTATTGCAAGAAAAGTATTCATTGTAGAACTATTTAAATGATTAGCTAACCATCATCATTCTGTGTTGTTGAGCGTCAATAGTAGAAGAATATGCTGTTTTAGGATTAAGTACAAACAAAAGATGGTGTAAAATTCTTTTAATCATTTCACCACACATTTTCAGATTTGTCTCATTGTATAATGCATTTTTCAAGGTATGAAATACTTTTCATAAGGTTTAAAGTTCCTCTGACAGTTGTCTTTCTTGCAAAGCTCAAATACTATGGCTGGATTTTCATTATTAATTAAATCATTCAATTCATCAGTATTCTAACAGAACTGATTGCTACAATCCCATTTAATTTGTTTAATGTAATAACAGCTGAATTTAGCCATAAGATTACTTAGTTTAAAAAAAACAACTAAAAACTTGATATAATTAGAAAATGAGTAACCATTAAAAGAAATGAAAGATATTTCATAATTGTAAATTAAATATTTCACCAAAGTAAAATTACAGAAACATGTATTGATATTAATTTGTCATGATTAATAATACTGCAGCAATAAGCTAACTATTATGTTTCTTTTATTTATTTTTCTGTAAAAGAAAAAAAAAAGACTACTAAGAAAAAGAATAAGAAACATGACTCAATATGGCTGTAAGAATATGTAAATCTGAAGTGATATTACATAAAATAATCACAGGAAACATGTTTTTTAACCATGTTTGACTTCTAAAAATATCTTTCTAAGTTTACACATAAGGAAACAAATTAGAATTGTTTAAATATTTGAAAAATAGTTTCACCTTTAGTGTTTTAAAAGCTAATTAATTAAGTTAAAAATCTGTTAATTGAATAACTAAAAGCATTATAACTACTTTAGACTGTTACATATTATTTAAAAAAGATTGGAATCAAATACTAAGAATATATTTAATTTTGAACCCAAATATATGCAGTATATAATAATGCAGCGTCCAAATCTGTTCTGTTACTATCAGAGAGCAAGTAATTTATAGATATTCCAAGTTTGTTTGTTTTTCTGTGTTATTATAGGACAAACTTCTAGCAGTGTTTGGGAGGAAAAGATGTTTAATCCAAGATTGACGAAAACAAAAGCTGAGTTTGTAGAAATCATGAAAAATTTGAATTTGGCATATCCAAAAATGATTGGTTAGTACATTAAGCACTTTATATGCAAAACTAGACTGTCATTTTTACTTCCTTCATCTCTACTTATGAAACAATAAAAATACTTCTAGTATATGTTTTAAAACTATCCATTTCAAAAACATGCTACTTTATAAGGATATATGTATATATTATGAAGGGTATGGAAAAATGTTTGAGATTTTTTATGATGTGATAAAAAGATTAATAAGATTCTCTGTTTACATGTAGTTGTATATTTTAATATTTAAAAGTGTAATTACCTAGGTCTGTGATGAGTTTATTGTCTTGAAAGTTTTACATATTCTACAATAATTCCTGTACACTGAATCCAAAAATGATAACCATTTTTCTCCATCATGTACAGATTTTTCACAAAATGTTATGTGTACTTTTACATAAGTGAATCATTTTCATTGAAATTGGGTCACATTTTGTTTTGCTTAAAATTTTGACAATCACTGGCTATAGATTTGTCTAGACCAATCACGACCCTGTGAGTCTTATCGATCGTTCTAGAACCCATGAGAAACACACTGCTAATTCATAAATGGTTAACAGGCTGCATGAGGTGTCATTTCTGGATAGTATTTGTTTGTGCATGTACTTTGACATTATTTTTTTCATTTCAATATTATTTATTTGTCACTATGGGTTGTGTAATATAGGTTGTGTAAATGACCCAAACATATTCTGTTATATTTGTGGTAAATTTGTTGTAAAGAAAGAAAGGTAAAACATTACAGAATTTGTCAAAAAGCATATTACGCATATTTTGTAACATAACTTGGGGACCAAGACAAATCATGGGCTCCACACAAAGTTTGTACCATTTGTGTCAAATAGTTGATACAATGAACTAAAGGTAAGAAAAAGTCTCTGCTTTTTGGAATTCTAATGGTCTGATGTGAGCCTAGAAACCACGGAGATGAGTGATATTTTTGCTCATGTAATGTGCAAGGCTACAACACTTGAAGTAAAAAGAAAATTTTTTATCCAAACCTTCAATCTGCTATAAGACATGTTGCTCATGGACCTGATGTACCTGTACCTACTCCACCGGAGACTCTTGTTACAGTTTGGAATCTGATATCAATAGAAATGATGATAGGGATTGTTTTCAACCTGAAACATCTGGTGAACCACAACTTTTCACACAAGGTGAACTTAATGATTTGGTAAGAAATTTGGTTGTTCCAAAGGATTCTTCAGAGATTTTGGGGTCCAGACTTCAGTCTAGAAACTTACTTACTTACTCCAGTGACATCATTTTACTAGTACAGAAATCATGAGAAAGAGTTTATACCATACTTTTTGCAAGAAGGTTCACTGGTTTATTACAACAATATTACTGAATTTAACCAATGCTCGGAGCTGCAGTCTATGAACTAAGTGAGTGGCAGATGTTTATTGATTCCTCCAAAAGAAGTTTAAAAGGCGTTCTCCTTCACAATGGTAACACATATGCATCTGTTCCTGTTGCTTAATTCACGTGAAGGAAATGTACGAAAATCTTGAACTTCTTGTTGATAAGGTCCAATACAAAGAACATGGTTGGCTACTTTGGGGAGACTTTGTATGTTGTTGGGTCAACAATCTGGTTATACAAAGTTTCCATGTTTTTTGTGTGAATGGGGACAGCAGAGCACGAAATCAGCACTGGATAAAGAAGCAATGGCCATGCAGAGTCAGCCTGATACCAGGATTGAAAAACATTGAACATGAAAGTTTGGTTGACACAAAGAAAGTCCTATTACCTCCACTTCACATAAAACTGGGCTTGATGTAAAGGCCTTAGACAAAGATGGAGACTGTTTCAAGTATCTATATGGAAAATTCCCAGCTTTTTCAGAAGTGAAACTTAAAGAAGGGATTTTTGTTGAGCCTCAGATTAGGAAATTGACTTTGGATGAACAGTTCGAAAAGACAATGAGGAAAGTTGAAAAAGAAGCATGGATTGCCTTTAAAGATATTATTGTCAAATTTTTAGGAAACAACAAGGTCCCAAATTCTGAAAATATTGTCAATAATGTGCTCAATAAATTCAAAGAGTTGTAATATGAGCTTGGAAGTTTCTTACACTCACATATTGACTATTTCTCTGAAAATCTCGGTGCCGTCAGCAAAGAACAAGGGGAAAAGTTTCATCAAGACATCAGGGAAATGGAGAGGAAGTATCAGGGACGGTGGAACATCAACAAAACTACTGGTCATTGATTCAATATGTAAAAGAAAGACCACAACACATAGGTTGAGACTAAGAGATGTAATTTCACAAAAAAATCAGGATAAATGAGGATGCATATCCCTTTTATTCAGTTTGTTTGTATTTTTTAACAAACATAATAATAAAAATATTTCATTGTGCTAAACGAAATAATAATTTTAACTAAAAATTTTTTTTCCTCCTGATTTGAAAAAAATTCTTACATAAAATGAATATTATTTTCGAAATCTTCATAGCTGAATTATGGAAAATCTGTTTTTAAAACCAAAACAACTTTTATGAAGTTTAAATAGCAGGCCTGTGTTATTGATATTTCTGTGAATGATGTAAGGTCTTAGGAATATGGATTTTTATAACTTGATCTACTGAAAGATACCCATAGTTTAAGATCCCTGAAACTACTCATCTGTTGGGAAAATAATTATTGGATTTTTTTCTTTCATTGTTTCAGATAAAGCTCTTCCTGCCAACATGGTTTGTGGTCTTCATGATATCACTGACCAGCAAAAAAGTGCCTAAATTAACCTGATCTTGCTCTGTTATTCTCAAAATTAAAGATTACATAGTGGAATGAATATGATAAACAAACAACTGGATTATTTGATATAGAAATTTTATGGGTTACACACCATTTTGTGAATTAATAAACTATACATTGATATACTAATTTGGATGTTTTCTACTAAATTACTGTCTTTCCAGTTTTGTAGTTTTACTTAGAGTGTAGTTCGGAGGTTTCTGTATCAACTTTTTAAACCAACAACTTGATGAAAATGTATTGGTCTTAACATTAATAACATTTAATAAATAAATAAGACTAGTTTACTTGTCATGATACTTGTGTATTTCCTGTTCTAAAACAATATGTTATCTTTTTGTAACACTGTTATTTACATTAAGGACCTATATATGCAATTTTTAACATGTTTAATGTGTAAGGCCTTAATGTGATGTTACATGCAAAAATATATTTGGAAAATTGGTATATTAAAACTGTTTTTATTAATGTGTATGGATTTTTATATATGTTGATAAAAAAACAAACTACAGTCAATGTTAACTCGTTTTTAATTAGAGTAGCTATTATTTTAACGACAATATTTCATTTGTTAGTAGCTATCATGCAGTATATCTTGCTCCATAACTGTCAGTGATAAAATTGAAATAATTATTGGTTTAGCATTTAATGTACTAAATAACTTACTGTGAAGTCTTTACTATGCTTTCAATCTTATGAAATATGTTAAATAACTTACCACAGTATAATGTAAAGGTTTTTCAAAATACTTCAGGTTATAATTTTATTTTGTGTTATTAAATTCATATTGGTATGTTTTGAATTTTTTATTTATAGTGTTGTGTACTATTTTATTAAATAACTAACATTTAAATAACGTTAAATTTAAGAATAATTAGTGTCTTAAAAACAAACAGAAGCATTTATTTCTTAATATATATATCTGGAAAAATATACATCTTGATATGTAGCTGAGAAAGGTATAAGTTTTAATTAGTTTTCTCTCTTTTTGTTTGTTGTTGCTGTTGATCATTTATTTAATTACCTTTATTGATGGTTTAATTAACTTTTTTTTGAAAATACTTAGCTTGTTTTCAAATTCACAGTTGTTATTTGAATAAAATTAAATGTTATTAATAAAAGGTAGTTGTAAAAATATTATTACTGACAATTTATTTTCAAGCACACTGTGCTACTATATTAGGAGTAAAAACACACAAAAACTGACGTTTTTTGTCACAATGAAACGTAAAAACCTTAATTATTAATTACAGCCAACTAGTTTTGGTAGCACAGTTACCACCATCATGGCTAGTATGTATAGTGTTAGATTAGCATATAATCGGCTTAATATAATAGCCCTGATGATGATAACTGTGTTATCGAAACTAGTCGGCTGTAATTAATAATAAAGATTTTACCTTTCATTGTGCCAAAAAAACGTTGGTTTTGTGTTTTTACTCTTAATACTATTGCTGACATTTTAGATTTTTTAACTCTCAAGTAACATTTTAGATTATTTTTTAACTCCCAAGTAACATTTTAGATTATTTTTTAACTCTCAAGTAACATTCTAGATTATTTTTTAACACTCAGATTCTGTAGTGCAGCAACTATTTGCTAGGAAGAAAAAATTCGGACTTCGTAAAGTAGCACACAAAATAACTTTCATTTGCAACCTTTTGAACCCTTCCCGAATAGCACAGCGGCAAGTGTATAGGCTTATAACGATAAGAACTGGGTTTCTATACCTGTGGTGAGGAGAGCATAGACAGCCAATTATGTAGCTTTGTATTTAACAAACAAAATTGTTTTTTTTGTAAAAACCAGGAAGGATAATATTAAGGTATTATACTTAGTGACATTAATTTTTATGCGTGTACAATGTATCCCAGAAGTAATATTAATGGTGTTAATAAAATACAGGGATATTATTTGGGAAAAATAAATACACCGAAAGGCAGACTGAAGTTTTCCAGAATTAAAAGAAAACTAGATTTTTTTTACATTCATAAAAAATTTGTGCTGTGGCATGTTTTAGTAAGTGTGTTAATCGAAGCTAAAGTATCAAGTAAATTTTAAACACTTGTGGAGTGATAAAGGGTTTTGGTTTGTTGTCGATAAAACTCGTCAAATCCCACTATACGATTAGGGGGCTCATCACGCAATCTGCAGGTCGCGGGTTCGAATCTCCGTCCTACTAAACATGCTCGCCCATTCAGCCGTTAGGCGTTATAATGTGACGGTCAATCCCACTATTCGTTGGTAAAAGAGTAGCCTAAGAGTTGGCGGTGGGTGGTGATGACTAGCTGC